CCGGGCCCGAGGATCAATCCGTTCATGGCGCTGCGGGCTGGAAAGCGGATGATCATCATTGCTGCTGTGGATTCGGGGAACATTAGCTTCTATCGGTTCATGCAGGGCTCGTTTGTTGACTGGCCTATGAACTGATATGTTTGGACATCCAGTACTCTGCGAAATGTATATTTTGGCATATTGTGGCAATGTTCGGTTCTGTAGAACTCCATCGCAGTTTCTACGTGTATCTCGCAGGCTTTATGCTTGCTTGGATAGGGCAACTTGCCACTCTCGGCCACCGCTGCGCCGCGTACCAACTATCTCAGCTCATCAGTACCGTCTCTTCGCATTGACATTTTGTTTGCCCCGATCTCCAGACGGCGACCGTCATCGTTCTCCTTCAAGTTTCTTATCTTCTCGCCCCCCTCACCCCTTTAGCATAACCTTAGTTAGGGTATACACATGTGCAAGCCTTATACAAGCCCTAGGTGTTCGCAGACTGGACTGAGCAGTGGGGACACACCTTGGAATGTCGAACAAAGCCTGGCAACTTATAAAGCGAGGCTTGTCAGTTGAAGAAGGCGGTCAAAGATTACAATTCCTATAGATACTATGTTTATCGATACAATGTGTGTGTAGGTAAGTACAGCCAGAAAAGCGCGACAACAGAAAACCAACCCCCTGGTGAAGACAGCAGTAGGATACTGTGATAAGAGAAGCAATGATAGCTGTTGTCTATCCAAGTCCATCCCGTGGCGCAAAGCCTCCCACTACTACGCACAACAGTTCATAGCCGCGATCTACGCGGACGGCTGCGCGGTAGTCTCCCGCGGCTGCGAGGACTGCAGCGGCTGCTCGCTTCCATAAAAGATGCGACGCAGCTGCGCGCAAGCCTCCTCGTAGATGACGTCCCGCTCCGGATCGTTCCCGTTCACGCTCTTATCCCACGCGTGCGGCGCGCCCTCCACCATCCGCCAGCGGACGTCCTTGTCCAGCGGTGTCGACTCCAGACGCTCGCGGAACCGCTTCGCCTCCGCCAGCAGCTCGTCCCACTCGCACGTGTACATGAGAATGTCCTTCGGCAGGCCGCGCAGCATCTCGTCCGGCGCGACGCCCGGGGAGAGGTACGGATTGCGGCGGTCGAGGTCGATGGGCGGATGGAGGTAGGACGCGTCGAAGAGCTCGGTGAAGAACTTGGGAAGGCACTTGTCGGGCCGGGTGTTCGTCGCGCGGCGCTCCTCGCGGGTGTGTGTGAAGTCCAAGGATGGGTAGAAGGCGCAGATGGTCGCTATGCGGCCCTGGGCGTCGTACGTGCCGCGGCTGGCGGCGTTCATCGGCAGCTCGGTGTTGCCCTCCATGTGTGTCGGTTTGCCGAGACGGGCGCGCAGCTCGTACTGCCAGCGCAGCGGCACGGTGAAGGCCATGTTCCCGCCAGCGCTGAATCCGGAGACGGCGATGTTCTGAGTGTTGATCTTGAGCTCCTGGGCGTTCTCGACGAGGTAGAATATCGCGTCCACGCCGTCCTCGACGCCGGTGGGGAAGGGGTACTCGGGAGCGAGCCGGTACTCGACGGAGACGACGATGGCGTTGACGAGCTGGGAGCAGGAGGCGGCCCAGCGACAGTCGTCGGTCGCAGCGCCGATGGTGAAGCCTCCGCCGTGGAAGTTGACGATGACGGGGTATCCTTCCTCCTGTGTGGGGGAGTTGGGGTACCCCGGCGGGGTATAGAAGATGAGGGGGATGTCGCCGGGGGTGGTGGAGACGGTGGACTTGGCCTTGCGAGTGAAGTTGGGGCCTGGGGGGCGCGGGTGGGCAAGGGTGTGCATGTACATGCCGATCGCCATGAGCCTGCGCCAGGTCTTGGCCTCGAGGGCGAGCGACCAGCGGGATCGGACCTTGCTTGCCTTAACGTTGTCGAGCTTCTTGTCCGTTTCTAGCTCGCCGTCAAGCTTGTCCTGGGCCTCGTCCATTGGATCGAGCGCGGGGTTCTTGTAGGACGTGCTGGGCGAGGTGTTCGTGCTGGATGTTGTGTTGCTGGCCGCCGTCTTCGAGGACATCAGGGACGCAGAAGAAGGGGCGGACTTGAGCGAGATCTTGCTCCCCGTGCGGGAGAGCTTCCCCGCAACGGAGGAGATTTTGCGTTGCATACGGCCAGTCATGGTGGTGTAAGGCAAGCGGCGAGGGCAGACCTCAGATAAAGCCAGGCCTTGACAAGCGCATGACGCAGAGCCGTGGCACTGCGGATTGGGCCGAGGCGGGCGCCACTGCATCATGGCTGTGCTCCCATAACGTCACTTGATTGACTTGGCTGCGCCCAGGGCCATAGCTCTTGGAAGGGCAAGTTCCTGCACCAGCTCTCGTGAAAGGTCAACACGAGTGCCCAATACAACCGATCCCCTGAGCATCGTGTTGTGGGAACAGAACAGCAGTCATGAGATGGTTGCGCTGAATCTGGCATCGTCAAATGGAGCAACAGTCAAACGAAGATCGCCATAGAAGCATCGAGAGCTCTCATACATATGCCGAATGTTGCCCGAATGAGACTTTTGAGAGCCCAAGGACCAAGTGACGTGAGGGGGACCTGGGGAAGGGAGGTATGGGGTCTGGATTTATCGGGACTCGGCAGCCTGCGCTTGATCACTGGAGCATGGCCTCGCACCGGTTATTCCTTTCTACACTTCGTTGGACTTCCTCGGTAGCATATCTGGACGAAAGGAGGGCAAACAATCAGACGTGAAGGAGCTGCCAATGGTGGGAGAGACAAGGTGCATGCGAAACGTCGTAGACGGTAGAGTGACTGGTCAGTCTCCTGTCACCTGCTACGGCAGTTGCCGGTTAGCGCTCTGGCAAGGTCCGAGGAGCGCAGAGTCTCCGTTTAGCGCTGAGCGCTGAGCACCGGGAGATAAGTTGAGGTGCTTGTTGAGGAGAGCGAATAACGAGAGCATGACGAGGGCGAGGGACAAATTTAGAGGGAGGGAAGAGAGAAGAGACGAAGCTCGCGAATCAACCCACTACTCACGAGGTAGCTCACGATCAGGTGACATCGCAAGTTCAACTCAATGCCCGACGCCTGGAGTTCCGTCCACGCACAGGATGACCACCACAGCTTCACAGAACCTTGGCAGCCAAAAGCAGTGAAACTGGCCGAGTCGGGCAGAAAATCGTCATGGCGCCAAAAACATAGTCTCCCAAGGCCTGGGCCTGAGAGTCCGTCGAGTACTATTGTAATCGGACTGTCTGCTAGCAAACGCGCCCCCGGATAGGCGGGTCGTGCTACATGTCGGGCTTTCTAACGAGATCGTGGGAAGCATTGCGAGTAGTATCTGAGTTACCCGCGCAGCCGACATACCAGACTACCAAGAACAGCGATTTAGGCCGAGTCGGGCCAAAGAATCGGTTCGAGTACAATGCATACGCTGTCTCAGCAATAGAGACTGCGAGACAAGCATACCAGAGGACGGCGCGTACAGGCCAATTGCCGGCAGCGACGCACATTAATCATATCAGGGTTTCCCGGGGATCAAGGAGAAGACTCGACGTATAAAAGCTAGCTGGCGACACCGTCGGAATCACTGACCAGAGTTAAGCTCACCGCCACAACAAGTATCATGTCCTCGTCCTCCACTGTTTACCTCGTCACCGGCGCGGGCCGCGGCATTGGTATGTCCCCTCCTCTACTTTGCTACCCATGCTTGCAGGCTGCTAACGAACACTCTTTACTGGCAGGCCTTGGGCTAGTCTCGCAGCTGGCCACTCGCCCGGACGTGGTCGTCTTCGCTGGCGTCCGGGACTTCTCCCGAAAGGGCGGGCTGGACGCCGTCGTCAGCGCCTATCCCGACCGAGTGCACATCATCAAGGTCGTCTCCGCGGATCAGCAGAACAACGACGAGGCCGTGCAGGAGATCAAGAAGGTCGCCGGACGCCTCGACGTCGTCATCGCCAACGCGGCCATCGACGTGCCCAAGAGGTCCCTGGACACCTCACCCGAGGAAATGATCGACCATTTCAATGTGAGTGGTCAAGAAAGAAAGTAAAAGACATGACTCACTCACTCACTTCCTCACTCACTCGCCTTTTCGCCTCCCTCGCGTTTACCCAGGTGAACGTCAACGGCCCGCTCGTGCTCTTCCAGGCGGCGTACGAGGTTCTGCGCGCCAGCAAATCACCGAAATTCGTCTCCGTCTCATCCATCGTGGGCAGCGTCACCGTGGCACCAGAGTTTCCGACGAACCAAATGGCCTATGGCGTGTCCAAGGCATCCCTCAATTGGGTGACGCGCAAGCTTCACACGGACAACCCGGATATGAGTGCGTGTGACAGTCAGCATCTACGAGAGCATGGCTGTGTTGACGTTGCTGCGTTCGTGCCCCTCACCTCCCTATGCTCTCGCCTCACCTCCTTCTGCTCTCGCATTACCTCCCCATGCTCTCGCCTCACCTCACTTCCCCATACTCTCGCTTCCCCCCTGCACCCCGCTCACCTCCCACCCAGCCATCTTCCCTATCCATCCAGGCAATGTCGACACGCCCGGATTCGCAGAAATACTGCCTCAAGACCCGATTCTGTACAAAATGATCGAGCAGGCCCCGCCGATCTCGGTGGAGGTGAGCGTGCGCGGGGTGCTGGAGCAGGTGGACGCGGCCACGAGGGAGACGCACGGGGGCAAGTTCGTGGATCATACGGGGTTAGGGAAGTTGCCGTGGTAGGCGGGTGGATGTGGACAAGGTGAAGCTTGAAGTCGCGTGGTAGGCAGCGTAGACCTGAGATGTTGTGGATTATATAATGTATGTGACCGCGCGGGATAACCACAGCCCTATCTAGTAGTATCATGGAGGACACCAAGTTGTTTGTTGGAACGGGATTCTGTCGTGTTATGGAAAAACTTCTGCCTGACTTCTGCCATCCTTTGCGTGCCCTTTGCGGCAAAGTAAGCAAGAGCGTTATTATGAGTATTAGTAGACGTCGTGCCCACTGCGGCCGTCGGCGCTCAGATGTCTACAGGGGAACTTGCGCGTATCTGCCCCGTGGCCCAGCTGGTTAAGGCGTGTGACTGTTACAGAATAGCAATCACAAGATCGTGAGTTCGAACCTCATCGGGGCAGGCTTTTTGCTCCACTACGGAGCCTACATCGTCGCTGCTGACACCTCTCTCTAACAGCAGTTTCGCCTACTCGCCTACCCCAGGTTCAACATCGCTGAGAAGTCGAACCTTGAGATGAGTCACGATGGTCACGGACTGATCACGCATAGTCACGCGTATCTGACAGTGACAGCTGTCTCGACTCTCGACCCGTACCGTGTACGTCAATCCTGCTGACAGTGATTACCTCGGGCGCTTGTTGAACTTCGTGATACAGATCTTGCTGTTTTCATGTTCGTCTTCAACACAGCGATGTTGGTCTCTCGCTGTCCTCTGGCTATACTCAAGCAACGTGCTCTTCTCCGAAAGCACTTCAATAGATTAGGCGTTTGAAGTCATCTACGCGTCAGTGATGGGCGAAGCGCCCAGAAATCACGGCGCTTCTCACAAGGCTATTCTGTGGGGGGGATCGCGCAGCTGCACCGTAATCCCTTCCACTTGCTACGCTCATGACTCTCAACTGCCTGCCTTATCCCGTGAACTTTGCATTTCTCGACGGGAGGAAGCAGCAACCAGAGCGACCGCTACGGGTGCGTCCATAATCTACTGACGTTCCCCTTCATAGGCTAAAGCAACGCAGATTCTGCTATCTAATGGTCGCTTCCCCGTTACCCTGGACCTCGCGCGACAGCTGCGAAGGGCGGGGCATGAGGTATACTGCGTCGACGCTATGCAGTATCACGTCTGCAAGTTCTCGAACGCTGTGCGCCAGTGCTGGCAGGTACCGTCCCCTCGCGTAGACGCGAGCGCCTACCTCGAGGGAGTAAAGAACGCCATAGAGAAAGTTGACATCGACCTCATCGTCCCCATGCACGAGGAGATCATATACCTGGTTGAGTGCAACGACGAGGAGATATATCGCCGGCTGTTCGCACCACCCCTCCACATCCTCCTCCGCATGCACAACAAGTGGGAGTTTACGGAGTGGATGCGGACAATCGGCCTCGACGCGCCGGAGGCGTACCTCTGCAAGTCGTACGAGGACGTGGAGAAGGTACCTAACCAGGAGAAGAAGGAGTATGCGCTGAAGCCGGTCTTCGGGCGTGCGTCGCAGAATGTGTTCCATCTGAAGCCTGGGAAACCGCTTCCAGACCGCGCGGAATTGGACGTCTCGGACAACTGTCACTGGATCGCGCAGGAGTGGCTGAAGGGCGACCGCTACTGCTCGTACGGCATCGTGCGGCAGGGTCACGTCAAGGCACTGAGCTTGTATGTCTTCTGAGATGCATATGCGTGCGCACGTACTGAATGCGCATCCCAGATACTCTGTTACCGAGACCATCGACGGTTCCTCGTGTGTCTATTTCAAGTCCATACACCACCCGCGTATTCAGGCCTACATGGACCACATTGCGAAGCAACTACCGACGACGACTGGAAAGCTCGCCTTCGACTTCATCGAGACACCCGACGGCCGCCTCGTAGCCATCGAGTGCAACCCACGCGCTACCTCGGGCGTCCATCTTTTCGGTGCCACGACGCGCCTCGCGAACGTCCTCACCGACCCGTTCGCCTTCCCTGTGCAAGCGGACGTTGGCGCAGCGCGCCAAATCATGCCGGGCATGCTGATGTGGGACCGCAAGCAGGCGCACGGGCTGCGCGCGTACGTGAAGCACCAGCAGCGGCTGATAGGCAGCAAGGACGTCGTGTTCTCGATGCGCGACCTGCTCCCGACGCTCATGCAGCCGTTCCTGCTCACCAGCTACTATGAGATCTGCCGCGAGAGGAAGCTGAAGCTGCCGGACATGTTTCAGTGGGACTGCACTTGGGAGCCGGAGGGGGAGAAGCTGGCGAGGGTGCGGCGGGTAATGGAGGAGGACAGGAATGAGTGGAAGAAGTGCCCGATGTTGGATGTGGCGAAGCCGGACCCGAGGAGGATCGAGGATGAAACGGCGGAGAAGAAGGACGGGAAGAAGAGGTTGGCGCCGCTTCCGCCGGGATACCTTACGGACAAGATGGATATCGCCTCTTCTTCGACTGCCAAGGTGGACAACTGCGACGCGAGCGGCAGTGAAGACAGTCAGCTTGCGAAGTAGAGGTCTTCTTTATCGACATGCATACCCCACAACCATGTTCCGGTGCCATGGACGCTTATCCCAACCCTGTATTGTGTATCGTGGTGGACAATCCGTACGAAGTAATAAGTATTCTTCTCTTAATGCTCCTCTCTGACTCTCATGTAAAGTTGTCCCGTTGTATTCGCTTATATACCCTCTGGTGCATTGAACACCTGTCGTGCCATTCCATATTAGGCGTCTGTGGACTTTCGTGTCTCAGTGGTTAAACTTTCACAGGATAGCGTTGTGTATGCGACTATTTGTACATATGTATCCCAAGTTGCACCCCGTGGCGTGGGAACATCCTCAAATACGAGCGTGATGGTGCAGTTCACGTCTTCCTCTGGACCTCTTTACTACTTTGACCCTGTTCGCCGCAGAGTACTCGCCGTTGCTGATACAGCTCATATGTATGCATAAATACGCCTTCAAATGGTCCGACTAAGTGACGCGGCACCGTAGCCACCACGCGAGGACGTGCCTTCAGAAGTGAGTTCATTGCAATGCCTGCTATGCTACCACCCCCGCCCCCGCATAGTACAATAAATACAGAGAAATATACAATCCGGGTGAAGACGTTTAATGGCAAGCGTTCAGCAGGTAGCCTGGTTGTCGATCTCGACGGTCTTGCCATCGGGGACGTCGTCAGGGTTGTAGTTGTACCTACGCAAGACGGTAAGTTGTCCATATCATAATCTGCAGTAATTGGCCGACTGACCAGATGTAGTGACCCAGGACCTGGTATCCGTAGTTGATGCGAATGCGTCCACACTGCGAGCAAGCGAAGTCAGCCGCGCCTCGACGCTTTGCCTGGGACGCGACTTACCTGCGTCTCATGGTGGCAGGAATCTGCTCCGCCGTCGGGCGGGCAGTTGATGAGGTCCTGCGGGTTGGTGGGGTCGACGGGGTCGCGCTGCTGGACGGTGGCAGCAGCAGCGAAGCCGCTGAGCAGGACGGTGCAGAGAGCAATGGAGAAACGCATGCTGTCGTTGAATGGATTAGCTGAAGGTGAGTGGGTGTCGGTGACTTGCGGTGAACTCTGGAGCTGACCTGCTTGCGCCCCAGTTCTTATACTTCTGCGCGTTGACCCTGTTTATCTTTCAAATCCGCGGAGTCAGGAATACGCCGCCTCAAATGTCATTTTGGCAGCGTCTCGGACTGCCTCAGCTCCACTGTCACTCGAGGCTTCCCGTAGTGTTTGGGTTCATGAAGAGCACGAGACGCGACTAGTACGGACGAAGTATACGGCCACTGTTCGCCGAGGATGTTGAGCGAAGAATGGAACTCAGAGCACGCCTCCAGCATCCGCGGTTTTCTATCGAGGCCTGCATACAGCTCATGCCTGCGGTATGCGTGCCGGAATATGATATCGGCCTGGAGCTGCTAGTGCGCAGAGACTTAGTCGGTCTTGATTATTTGGGTGGCCCTGCTCAATGATTTGTTCACGAGTGCGTGTCCGGTTCTCCTTCTCTAGGAGCAAGACTGACGGCTTAAGACGCGCATCGGTCGGTGAAGACTACACACACATCGTCCCTGCTTTCTCACTATGCAAAGTGTACGAAAATCAGTGCTCACGGCCTCAATTGATCTGGTTTCGTTCGACGTCGATGCATCGCAGTGGAGCCCCCCACGTACGGCTGTACCATGAAACCCTTTCCGGGACGTCGAAAGACTCCACAGCTCCCCAAACGTCTTCCGACAACGTCGGCTTCACCGGTCTCGTGAACTTGCATATTTATGCACCGCTGCTGGTGAACACCACGAACACCGTATAAAAGGCTGCGTCTGCGCCTTCGTAGCATCATCAGCTCGACCACCACCTTTCAAGCACCACCGCCTCCACCGCCCTACCAGTATTCATCATGTTCGCTTTCAAGCCCATCGTCGCCTTCATGTCTCTGGCCGCGTTCGCTGCAGCTATCCGCAACCCGGACAACCCTCAGGACCCATCAACTGCCCGCCCTCTGGCGGCGCAGACCTCTGCTCGAAGGAGACGTCGGTGCGTCTTTCGTTGCCACCTCCCCCGTCCAGGCTACGGTCGCTCGCCTTCGAGCTCATCGCCACCCCACGGACCGCCCTTGCTGACTTTGTTCTTGTAGTGCGGAGACCGCATTCGCATCAACTACGGGCAGACGGAACAAGGCCACTACATCTGGTACATGTACGTTTCCCTGTGCTTTGTTGTGGGAGCGGGAATTCATCACGCTGACTAGCAACGACTATGACCCCAACAACCTCCCCGAGGGCATCTCCATCACCACCGACACTGTGGGGACCTGCTAAGCGTGTCGTTCTCGACATGATATATATGGGCATGTTATTTATACTCGTTGCAATGTACAAAGGAGGATGCGAAGGTGCATATCATGACACGCTTAGAGCCATATGTAGTAAAGCCCAGTACTGTCGGAGGCTGGCCTTTCTTGTTGATGATAAAAGGTTCATATGTCACGAGACTCGTCTTGCTACCTTGCCTCCCCAAGCTCTCTAGGCGTGCCCAAGCCTTACATAAATGCTGCCGCTCAAGCGGCCAGATCATCCAGACTGCCCAGTCCACTGAAACTTCAAAAGCGCTCGAGGGTTCACGTCGCGCGATCACGTGCCGGTTCAACGCGTGGTTAAACTTCGACTCAAAGTCACAGCGACTCGTTCGCACGAGGAGGGCTTCTCGTGCTCAGCAGCGACAGGAATATATGCCTTGTAATAGCCTGCGTGTGCAAGAGTAGATACAAGCTTAGGCTGTTACTACAGTCGAGAAGAAAAATGAATGCAATCTAGGCGAGCGCGCCCTACCCCCCAGGTCAGTTACTACCCGAACCTTGCTTGATGCGGTGTCGGAGGTAAGTCCTCCGAATAAGCAGCAGAGGTACCCTTCATCCAACATGCCCCTCGCCTTTTACTAGGG